TCCTCATTTTACCTTTGTCTTAAAAATTAATAATAAAATACTCTTCTTAATTATAGAAACGGTTTATTCCTTTTTTTGTTATTTTTTTGCGATGAATTCTTTCTTAATATTCTTCAGGTTAACAATTATCTTTCATCTATAATCTACTTTTGTACTTTACTGTTTCAACTATTACATAATCTTTTTGAACAACGAGAAGACGTAGTTGATCAGAAAAATGTGATAGATTTGCGCTATACATATCGAACAATCTGGTCACACACACTTGTCAGGGCATTTTATATGAAAATTAATAAAGGTCAACTCAATGAAAGTTCAAGTAAGAAAAGTAACGAAGGTGAAAGAAACAATTTTACATCATATAGAGACAATAAGAAATTGTCGAGTTATCCTAGGTCATAGAATGAGTTAAGGATTACCGGGGTAAACTCAAGGTTACGACAAATTATCAGGAGGGGTTTTTTGAAGATTTTAGAAATTTCACTAGTTGAAATCATGAGTCAATTGAAGCTAGACCAAACAGTGGAATTTCTAAAATCTCCACAAAACCCCTTCTGATATTAATCATTTGCTCACTAGTGACTGACTTCAAGAGGCATTTCCTGGAGTTCTAGTGAGAAGCCGTTACCAGTGTAGTTCAACCAGATCTGTTGTGATATATCAACTCACTGAAGACAATGGTGGACGGTCGTGCAATTTCCTGGATTAGTTGAAGTTATACATTAACACCGTTGGATACCGACCGGCTCAGTGGTTTAGAGGTTAAGCGCAAGACTAATAGGTCCTGGGTTTGAATCTCGTGAGGCGGGGTCGTGGATGAGCACTGATGAAGAGCCCCGTACTATAACAAAACGGCCGTTCAGTGCTTCCAGTTTTTCCATAGTGGTCTAGCTTCAATTGACTCATGATTTCAACTAATGAAGTTGCGATAAATTGTTTTTGTACACATAAGGGGGGTTTAAATTTACGAACAGCCAAGGCTTCAATAAACTTGAGAATTCGTCCTTGACAATGTCTAAACAACGTTTTAAAAGCTGTATTAATGTTAATTTTGTGCCCCGTTTCAATTAAATGTTTCGCAATCGATTAAGTAAATAAATTTGTAAAAAAAGTTTAATCAAAATATATTTATAGGTGAAAGTTATATTTGAAATGGTCTCAGAGATTGTAATTTAAATAATTTCAACGTTTCGTCTAGCTAACTTGGTTATTACCCTGAAGAAGTCCAGACAAGTTAGCTGGATGAAACGTTGGAATTATTTAAACTTCAATCGCTAAGATTATTTCAAATATAATTTTCACATATAATGACTTCTCTATATTCGGCGCCTAATTTCTGTCAAACTATTCGTTCTAATCTTGACGAATATTCGTACAAAATATATTTAGACTAGAAGTAACCATAATATATTCATGAATAAAAAGAAATAAACATATTGAATTAAGTTATACTTCGGTTGTTTTGTATTACATAGCATAGTTCTCTTCTGGTTAACTAAGTTATATAACGTAAGTTTTGTTAACTCACTTATCTGAAGAGTTTCTAATAATAAGTTCAAATAATCAACTTATGATAATTGATACTAACCAGACTAGTTGAATAAACCGTATTGGAAGTGTCTTATCTTTAGTTTCTCGTGAACACGTGCATGCCAGGTTAGGAAAAAGTATCACTAAGTCTATAAACAGTTTAATTCTTTTCAGTCTAATCGACTAGAGATATATAATATAAAGATTGAAAATGAAATCTCAGTTAAAAATCAAATCTAGTATAATCTATTGAAGATTTCAAGATTATGCCTATTTTATATAGCTGAAACATTTGACAACAATTCTTAGGAGCCAGACTTATGTGTCTAAAAGAGATGCTTTCAAGTCATTTATTTACCTTAGGCCATAGAGTCATCCTATTCCTAATTCAATCATGTCAGTACAAATTATAATTATTACCCTTCTTTCTCATTCACTGTCATTTGTATAACCTCCTCCCAGGGTGAACATAAACATAAACTCTAGGATGAAGGCTCATCCAACTGACGAGTCCATAATAGGACGAAACACGCGTCCAGGATTCCACTGCTAGTCACCAACCATCTTTAATTCGATTCTGTTTAGACACCCTAACTTTTATGAATGTTTTCAGTGATTGATCTTACTGATTTTATCATTTGGTTTGTTCACCAATTTCTCCTACTACCAAACTGGTTATTATTCTGGAGACTAGAACAATTAAAATGCCAAAATTCATTACAAAGTTCAACCAATCTGTTATGTGAAGCATTCATTTCTTGTATTTGTAATGACAAGGGATAAATAGTAAAATACATATTTGATTGTTCGAGAATGAAGAGCATATACATCAGTTATCTACCAGACGATCTTACTTCAAGCAAACACTTTCAATTAATGAATAACTTGATCTTTTTAAAAAAATTATCTAAATAGGTCAGAATCATGTGTACGAACCGATATTTACAGATGTTATTGGAGATCGCAGCCGAATATTCGAAACTCTTGAGTGTTCTCTCACCTGTGTACGAGTAAAATTATTTTCTAGATAACGACAAGAACTTTTGGTTAGTATGAGTGACAGGTTATTAAATAAGTTACTGGGAGTTGTTATTATTATAAATCGGAAAACCTCACAAACAGACAATTATACTTATTCCAAGCATAGTTAGCTATTTCGTAACTATAATGGATGATTCTCTATTTGGAGATGCATTGTTTGACTATTTGATAAAGAGTAGGAGAGCAACTAAATGTTGAATAAGGATAGAATTTCAAAAGAGTAATAGTAATAGTGTTTTAGTTATATAGGATTATAAAAACAACAGAATATTACCCTGAGGAAAAGAAGCATGTAAATGAGACGTTAAAATCCTTAATTTAAATAATTCTGAAGATAACATTCTTATGGATTATGACTTAATGATTGAGGTCTCGTTTGAAGAATTGTTGTAATGGATAAATAAGGTGGCGATGGATAAATGAAACACAACTATACGATGTAGCCGAGTGATTGCTACCCATGACATAGGATTACTTTTGTCGATACCCAAACATGCTGATGTAAAGCGTAAGAATGCAGTGTGTGTTACTTATAACGACATAAGTAGTACATGACGCCAGTCGTGAAAAGAATGTCTGACAGCAGAGAGACAAGAGGATCGAACAGTAAAGAATGGAAACAAAATGCAATTTGTATAAAAATGAAAGAACAATGAAGTATGAGGCATTTTGAGACAGTTGATGGACATTTTACAAATTAAGCATTTACCATATGATTGTTGGATTTTATTAATAAGTCCTGTAATTTTGTGTCTAATACATTCGGTTGTCCCCACCCGTGTTCTGTTCACTACAAGAACACTAGCCAGTAGAATAGATTCTTTGCAGTTAAATAACACTGTTGCATACAAAATATCAGACACAAGAATAAACATAATCAGAAGACTTTTGAAAGGTGATTGATGGAGAGATACAAATTCCATAGGTCACTCATGTGCCAATGAAATTAAGATCTGAGTCTTTAGCTTAATTATTCCTTATAATATATCACCAGCTCACAAGATGATATGGAATGTACTTTTATAACATTTATAAAAAAGAACTCTTGAATTTTTTCATATATCCTTTAGTTTTCCTGAAAGCCATAATTTTACCCCGTCTCTAGACTGTAAGTGTACTACCGTCATAAAACTTTAAACGCTCATCTATCATCGTTTGAGTGTTAAAGAGTAATAAATTCTTACCGTCACTTCCTTCTATGGTTTTAGAGTTAACATATATTATATGATTTTGTCTGTAACAAATTGGACATATGAAATATTTTTATTCCATAGCTGAAAACCCTACAGCTCTCTGTTAATTTGTTTAATGTGTGGTTTTTGCAGGGCTAATCAGGAGCATACATAATAAACTTGCCTGATTATTGTGAAGCCACATTCAAAGATTCTAAATATAATGCCGAATAATCTTTAAGAATTTTTAACTATTATGCGACAAATAGGCTTGATTTTGAAGTAATTTAAAGACAATCACTAGACTCAGTCTCATGACTGTTTTCAACAACTTGGTTATTGCATTTCCTTTCAGATCTAATAATTCGTGATTGGTGTTTAGAAGTTCTTTGTTGGGTTTTTTGTGGTTGAATTAGTTTAATTTCCTTTCACGCAATGTAATTAATATTTTAATTGTCAGTTTTATCACCACTGTTAAGAGTTATCGGTTTTTGATGAATAGATAACAAGTTTAAAATTGTTAAAATGACTGAATGAAATGACTCGATTGATCGATAACGTACATAAACAATTTAGGATGCTTGTATTTAACAGGTATCTGCTGGTACCCAGAGGGGCTTACAAATATCTACAGAGTACATACCACAACTATTTTGAATATATCGAGAGGCACACTCATCCAGTGACAATGACAGTAAAAGAAATAGTCTTTACGATCAGAAGCAACAAAACACGTCATTAGATTTAGTCCAAGGAGAGTTTAGAGGAGACATAACAGGGTCACATTTCTTAGTACGATACCTAAAAGTAGTAGTCCATCAAAGTTTGCAAACAAGTGTCACCTTTCCAATTGTTTCAAACACATCCCAGTAAAACTATACAAAGTAGACAACAGACTAATTTGTAAATTTTATAAAAAGAAAACACAATTGATTGTAACAAATTACATTCAATTTAAAAATGGATGAGGTTTTAGAATCACAATAAAATCACTAAACAGGTTAGGTGTTATTGACAGTTTTGTAAAAAAAAGAAAGTAAAGTTCCATTACAGCATTTCTGAATAGTTTTCAATAGGTTTACATTAGTTTCTTAACAAAATAAATATGATAATCGTATCATTTTATCCAAGATATTCATCAACTGTAAATTCTTATAGTATAGAACAATAACAAATGGTTCAATATAAAGTATAAGTAATTGATTCAACCAGTATCATACAATAATCTTCATTACATCAATTTACATTATCTATCATTTATACAACTGGATCAATTGTTGTTTTATGTGTTTGTAGTCGTTTCTGATGAGTTTGTACACCTTTATCTAAACCATTACATTCAATAATATCTTCTAATATGATTACATTGACTAATTGATTAGTTTTATATTCATTTTTCATTTTATATTTACTTTTATTTGAGTTACGTGTCAAATTTTTCTTAGTCGATGTTTCAGTTATTGATGGAATATAAGCTACTTTAGTCCATGGTGTCCATGGTGTTGTAACAGTATTGGGATTTGATAAACGATCAATGTTTTTCTTGTCTAAATTCGATATATTTGTGTTGGTTGATGATTGATTTGTTTGTTTTAATGTTTTGCTTGTTGAATTTTTTGAAAATTTATTCCATTTGAATCGAGGGTTCACAGCCAATCGAGCTGTCGAGTAAAAAATAGACAGAAAAAGAAGACTAATTGTAACTGAATGGAAATCCAAAAAAAATAAACTATTTTCGTTTATTTATTTAATAATAATAATAAGACGTATACTAAAATACTACTGTCGCTCGTAATTGATTTTGCATCACAAACTGGCATTAGATTGACAACAATTGAAAACCAAGAAGTAATGGACACAGATTATATCTTAGAATGTGACTTTCCAACTGTAGGCATCCAAGACATTTTCAATGACGGCCCTCTGGACCTTCCGGTCTCGTGATATGCACTTGATTTTCAGATCCTTCAGTTCGAATCTAATGGCTTATAGGTCTCACCACAGTCACTTGGCGATAATTCACGAGTGTCATCCTGTAATGTCGATGGTACTTATCACAGTCCTTAAGTAATTGAATCTCACTACCTCAGATGAGTTCCACGAGTCCCTGCTTACTACCAGTTATACAGGGAAAGCACTCATGTAGAAATTAGCAAAAAGATGAATAGAACGAAGAAATATTTTATTTCTTTAGTTTATCATCATGGCTTCACACTATATATATATATATATATATATATATATATATATATATATATATATATATATATATATATATATATATATATATATAATATTGTATTAGTGAAGAGCCATGATAGAAAACCAACTAAACAGAAATTTCTACACTATATTCATCTTCTTGTTTCAGTAATGTCTGTCATTTAGCTGACAGGTTTTTTACGAGCAATGTACATGTTTTTCCATGTCTTTATAACTGTCAGTAATGTGCTCTAACAGCGCTACACTGTTTCGAATCCAAATATTGTACTAGTTGATTGATCTGAAACATTTAGTTTGTCATAATTAGCTGGAAATATCGCAGTTTTACAATTTTACTTGCCAGTTTTAGATTACCAGAAATTAAATGTTTTAGTTGTAATTTCATTTGTCTACATTGAAATCGAAATGTCTAACTACTAGCTGCAAAATAATGCAAACATAATGATTGTTGTAAGTATGGGGTTGTGGAAATTGTTGATTTGCACTGAAATCAAGAATCGACCTCCACAATCGGATAATCATAATCATCATGTGTTCACTAATGATTAGCTTTGGGAGGAAATTCCCAAAGCTTCATTGAGAAACCGTGTTAGGTAAAGTTCAACCATGTTGGTGTTAGGAAGTTACTAGAAATAATTGGGAAACGGTCATGCATTTTGGTGGATTGACAGAATTATTACAAAGAATCAAACATACATGACATTAGTTAGTAATCAATGACTAATGAGTAAACTTTACATTCTATATAAAAGATATATACTATATACTTTTGTTTAATTTCAATGTTTCCTTTGCACTTACCTTGTACTGTATGACAAATATTTTTAAAATCTGTTCGAATCCATTCTTCATCATTTTTAATAGGCCCTTGTGTATAAAACCATGGTGTAAAAAGATCATGAAAAAATATATTTAAAATAACAAAATTTTGCCCATCTCTTTGTATTTTTAATATATTAGCTGTATTCCATCGACCATATTCAGCTTCTAAACATTTCATAAATTCATTAGCAAATATTCGACTATGAAATGTTACACCATATCGATTACCTTCATGTGATACAGTATACCAACCTACAATTAGATAATATAGTAGTATAGTTATTGTTTAAGAAAAAATTTGACAATCTATTTATTTCACTAGTTGAAATCGTGAGTCAATTGAAGCTAAACCAACATGAAAAACCTGGAAGCACTAAACGGCCGTTTCGTCCTAGTATGGGACTCCTCAGCAGTGCGCATCCACGATCCCGCCCCCCGCGAGATTCAAACACAGGACCTATCAGTCTTGTGCACAAGCGCTTAACCATTAGGCCATCTATTTATTTTGTATCAAGTTAATAACAATAGAAACTAATCATTTTTTAATAATTTTATTGAATAAATGAGAATTGTTTATGATCTCTAAAAATAGTTACTATTGTTCTAACTTCTTTTAAGATTTATTCAATTTGTACCGAAGTGTTTTGATAATGTTTCAGATTGAAGTATATCTGATTAATTAGATATGTACATTCATTGCAACAAGACAATTGATCTTTGTATGACAAACTGTAAACCATATGTAGAGAAATTTGAACACTTCAATTTCACCTGAGCTTTGTATTGATGATATCGTTCAGAAGAACGATGAAAACTCCATGAAAAATCTATTCACCACAAAGAATAAAATTCTATCAAAATCATCCACCTGAGCTAAAAATCTTTTCCATCATCTCAACAAGAATTATGGTCTCGTAATATTTTGTAGTTATCGGTATCCTATAGATTTAATTTCTTATAAATGATTGCCTATGAAGAATCGAATAAAAAAATAGTAGAATACAATATATGGATTGTCGTTGGTAGTAAAATCCAGGACTCACGTTTTATTCCATTGTGAACATACTCCAAAGGTCTATTAGCCGCAAATAGGATAATACATGCAGCTTTTAATTCTAGTACTAGTCATAATCCATCTGTTCTACATGACTGACATAGGAGATTCGTTAAGGTTTTTGTATTTTATAATTAACATTACTGACTGACCCTAACTGGATAACCACTGAACGCTAGGAAGCAAGTTCAGTTATATTGAGTGTGAAACAGTTACTCACTGATGACATTGGCAGATAATTGTGTAATATCGTAAGTTGATTGAAATTACGTTTACAAATAGTTAGATGGAGTTTCAGTAGGCTAAAGGTTAATTGCTTTCACCTAGATCTTAATTTCCTAGGCCCGTACCATACTAGAATGAATAGGTTCCAATACTCCTTAATTTTGTGATGCTTATTCAACCAGGATTAGTCCGTGATGCAAACTTTAATACTCGATATAACCTGAAACAACATGATTACATCAATGTAAACGGAACAGGTTGAACGTATGCAACAAATTCAACAAAAGGATAATGCCAGCTATCAAATAATCATATAGATAAAATTTATATTTCATTGATTTGTAGATGATGACTTACTAATCTTTGACTACTATTCATTTCTTAATTAATTACTTTTTGTTACAGTGAAAAAAGATGAGTGAAACAATAGTGAAATGAGTAACAAAATGAGATAGTGTCTCATGGAAATTTTGAAAGTGCTTAACAGTAGTATCCAGGACTTGTGTTTCGTCCTACTTAAAACTTTACAGCTATATGTATTTACACCTCATCATTAATATTTAATCTGAGGCTTAAACCAAGTACCTTACACTTTGAATGCTTAACGCGTTATCCAGTTAACTAATGAGTTCAGTTAGCCATTAGCTTGTGAAACAAAATGAGTTTTAACTAGTTTGTAAGGACTGTTTTAGTTTTCTCATTGTTATTGATGTTAACCGTTGCAATCGATCAATCCCTTTCGGCATTTTTGGATCCTGAGCTCCGATATTGCTACTAAATGTAGTGTTTTGTATTGGCAGTAGCTAGATATTATTGTTTTCTCTCATCAACTAATCACGGCCTAATTTTAACTGACGTGTTGATTTTGCAAATAAATGATATTTCTATCTTCGCGAGACTACACTCAGCGATTTATCTAATGGTCTAAGAACTAGGTTTCATAAGGTAATAGATATCTCAATTATTTTAAAAAAAAATTCAATTGACAATTGAGCGGTTGTAATGTTTCAATAGACCACCATGACATTTTAGAAATTTCTGATACATATATGAGATATATACTTATAAAAAGTGAGTGTTTAGGATTATATGTACTTACCAGCCCACGCATTTATCCCTTTTGTTTTCTTAAACGTGAATTACTTAAACGCATGATGTGTGTGTTAGTGTCGGCAACTTATTAACGTAGTCATGAATACTAAATCATGTTTATTCATTCACTTGACTTACTATTATCTGCTTGGATTGTTTGAAGTGAACATATGAAATAACCTTTCGCTATATATATGACATTATTTTTACTGCTTATACTCTATAATATACAGTCAGGAGCTAAGACTTGTAGCGGTTTTAGAAATGGATAATAGAGATAAATTATGATTGACTACCGACTTTCAGTGCTAATTCTTGAAGGTCTTGATGACAAAGCTATAAAATTGAATCTTAATGAAATCATATATATGAATAATCAATTATCGTTTATTTCATATTTATGATCTCGAATGTCATAATATAAGTAAATTGTACCGATTTAAAAGGTTCAAATGTTAAAGAATAATTGTGAGGTTTTTGTAATATTGCGACATGTTTTATTAAATAAACAACTTCAATTCATCATTGCTACTTACAAACCATGGGGTTCTTCATGTTTGTGCTTGTTATACGATTAAAACCCTAGGGATTTAATTTTTTTACCTTTGTAAATGAGATTGGCTAAAATCTTAACGTTTAATTAATTCAGTTACAATAGTAAGCAAATAAAGTGATACTGGGTGACTGTGGTTCAAGTTTTATAGGAAGCATCAGTTACCTTAACAATGTAGACAAGATACTGGTTGTTACTTGGTATATATATACCCCTAGCAAGAAAACGTTCTTTTTTACTGGAATAATCTCATTGAAGAAACACTTACAAGCCAAGTGTGAAACTTGTTATTAATAGCTCTAGGACAAATTTACCTTTATTAATCACTAATCCATATAGACTTTCATCAACATATTGGTTATTTTTAGAAAGAATCTAATTCTTCAGCAAAAAATAACAACAAAAATTAATATTCATCGCCATGAGTTTGATAAAAAAGAAAAACAAAATCTGAATAATAAGTAGTGATGGAAGACTTACGAGTATCCCACTGGAATTCAACATCATCTGTATCAAATGAGCAAGAATAGATAACAAACACAAAGTTACTTCATTTGATTAAGTGAACAATTATGAAGATATTTAAAAACATATATATCCATATATACGTAGTTACATGAAGATAAACTGAATTTCGCAAAAATAGTTTTGTTATTGTTTTTGCTGTGATAGTTTGCAGATTATATCTCTCTTAAGATAAGTTGATCGCACAACAGTTTTCGCTATATTATTCGCCGGTTATATGAAACCTAACACTTTTGTAGTGATTTGTGTTAGTTTGTAAATTTTTGACACTTGATATCTTTGAAGTATTGGTTGAGTATGGTAGGACCACTAAGTAAACAAGTTTAAGATTAGGGGTTAAGTTATAGTTAAAAGCAATTGATGGAGCCATCAATATTTGTCTTTATATTATGAATGACTAGTCACTCACTACCTACCACAATGTATAACTGTGACTGGGACAAGAATAGTAACAAAGAAAGCTACTTAAAGGCGTAAAATAAACTGCAACATGAAATTACTAACTGTGAATTTAAGACGTATTAATCGGTGTACGTTTGCAAACTGATTGTAGTTTATGGCTATAGACTGGGTGACATAAACCGAAATTTGTTGTAGTTATCTGATTGTATTTATCGACGATATTTTTTCAAAACCTGATTCTGTTTCCCTTCATGCTTCTCATTCTACCATCTTATTAATTTCTTTTTAACTAAGTTTCTTATATTTATAAACTGGAATAAATATTGTTGTTTCTTCTGACCTATTTTCCTCCTTTTTACCATTAATGTGTTTTAAAACACATCCCTGGTCTTATGTTTCTTACGACTAAACTTATTGAATAAATAGCAGTAAATTTTGTCAGTATATGACAATTTATATCAATATTATCTTACCGGAAAGATAAAGCCGAGTTAGATACTGTTCAAATGAATCAGAAGATGATACAGAGAATAAAATAAGTCAACCGAATTAATTTTCTTGAATATCTAAGCCATTAAACATTTATGTCAATAGTTTTCTGTATCAGTTATACTATCAGTCATTTTCTGCTTGTTCATTTCTTGAAAATATGAATAAGTCATTATGACAATCAGAGATTTGTTTATAATACTACGATATCATCTTTCTACTGAACAAACAATAGAACTGTGGTTATTCCAGTCAATAAATAACTCTATCTAAATCTTATACCTCTACAAATGAACGTTTTCTTTATTACTTACCAGCATTAGAAAAATATGCAAGTAAAATGCATGTAGCATAATAATCTTTCATAGTCATTCATATACATTTCAAGTCAATTTGCATCAAGAAATGATATCATCCCGATCGAAAAAACACTATATAATTACTTTGTTCAAGTTTGGGACTAGTTGACATTATACACTCATTATCTTATTAAGCTAGAACTCAGAATCTACAAATTTCTCAGTAAATATGATTACGTTCAGTCACTGATTTGACATTCAGAATTTCATATTTTTCATCTCTAGTCTATTCACAATATGATAGAATTTTCAATCCGTGTCAGCTATTAAGAACTAGATAACTTTTAATTTGGTTGGCTTTGCCATTCATGTCATGTCAACGGGACTTCAAGCAAGACACAATTTTAAACTGGATTAGTATTAAGTTTGAAATTTTTTTGAAAAAGGCTGTTGTTAACTGGCTTATGTTGCGTTATTTGAACTGGATAGTTTAAATAAATGAGAATGTAACGAAATAAAAGATATCAGATCGATAAGACGTTTATTCGACTTCATTTATTAGTATAAGATGAAATAAGTGGTTTGTTTATTGTTTTGTAGCGTTTTGTTTTGGTTATTTGTCTTTTTTTTGCTATCAAACTGTGGAGATCCGCGAATGTGTCTTTGTATGTATGTGTGTGACACTGAAAAGAATAACAATCCACAATACACACCGTTAGAGGAAATAATTAAAAGTGGATCAGTATATGATAAATTGTACATTTTTGAATGTTTTTGTTGATGAAGTATTTTCTTTTTCATTTAGGTTGCTTTTTAATTTGAAGTGAAATTTCAATTTATTTATTTAACTGATAAAATTAATCAATGACTGAATAGCAATTATTATTTTTTCTTTGAGATCATGAATCGATTGATGTTAGATCACTATTGTGTTATAACGAGATGAAAGGTCAAAATTTGATTGATTTATTCATTATGATTTTTATTCAAGAGTAATGCCGTTTAATTCGCAGAGTCTTAGTTCCGGTCATAGACTAGGTCAACTTGTAATCGCTTTAAAATTTGGAGGCAGTGGGCGGCCGCATCTTTTTATTGTGGAACTCCTTAGCTATGCGCATCCATGATCCCAATTGTGCGAGAAGCCGTGATCAGTGGACCTAATCCATGTCAGGTAGAAATAGGTATGTATCTCAGTACAATGGAAGGTGGTTGTGCAATTTCGTGGATTGGTTGAGGTTAGACACTAATATCGTTGGATACAGGCTCAGTGGTCCAGAGGTTAGGTGTTCGAGCGCGAAACCGAAGGTCCTGGGTTCGAATCCTGCAGGCGGGATCGTGGATACACACTGCTGAGGAGTGTCACTGTAGAACGATACAGTCGTCCAGTGCTTCCAGGTTTTCAATGGTGGTCTAACATCAATCGGTTCATGATATCAATCAAAAACCTAATAATCTCAACAACCCTATACTGATAATCATTTTTTAAGGGATTTTCTAGTCCTGCAGACTTGTAAAAGCAAACAGTAATTCATATATTTTTTTAAACTTCTTAAGGAATTGTTATCTTTACAATATTTATCCATTTCTTATATGCCTAAAATGATTAACATAAGATTATTTAACATTTAATCTTTAATAAAACAAAAATAAATTTTGATTGATTGTTTTAAAAAATTTGTAAACTACAACATTATCTCAATATTTTTATCACAAGAAGTAGATTACACATGTGTAAAAATCGGAAAGGAAAGATGTTTCAATAAATGAACATATTTATAAATATTTATATACCGTATCTGTGGTCTAGAGGTTAAGCGTTCTTGTGCATGTGACTGAAAGTCCATAGTTCGATTGCCGGTTGCAATGCTGTAGTTGGAAATTTATTTTACAGATCGAATCAAATAAATGAGGGACTATAATAATAATAATGATAGTGGCAATGGTAATTATGTTGACAATAATGTCATCAATAAAGCTTCGTAGAAGAAAACAGACAAAACGTCTCAAATCATCAGTATATTAGATTTGTTTTATTTTCGCGAAATTTGAACACTATTCTAATAATAATAATAATAATGAGTAACGACTTACTTGGAGTCGGCGTAAATATTGGACATTCATGGTAACATCTATCACAAGCTCGAAATACTTGAATTGTATAACTAACTGTCAAAAATACTATCACAGTGACAATTACTCCAAGTGGTATACCCCATCTTAAACCTGGCCTAGAAAAAAGATAACAGAAAGTTTAAAACAAAATAAAATCATCAGTTGTTTCTTTTTAAAAATATTTATACATAATTATTGTGAATTCTTCTGTAATAATCTTCATTTAATTATGTAATTCAATGATTTTCATATTATAAGTTTTTATAATCAAACTAAATAATCAATGAAAAGTCATTAATATTATTCTATTTAGCTAAATAAGTAACCGAACTTAATTGATTATGTTAACAGTTTTACCCTTAGGCTAATTATATTGATCAAAATTATTATTAAAATTCTTTAAAGATTAAACTACCTGTTTTATCAATGTCATTATACAAACAATCTGTTATTCAATATTGATATAAAGCATTAATTTTAATGATGACTAAACTTCATGAATTTTACAAGGAATTCATTAGACCTGAAATAATAAAAATTTTGAATGAGTCTATAGTTTATAGACAACCTATGAATTATGTTTAATTGACTTTTAAAATATTCACCTATTTTGTAGGGTTATATGAGGATTAGAATTAGGATTTAAAGTTGGAGGTTTGGGTTGAAAATTAAAGTTAGGTTTACATCATGAACTGAATGCTATTCAATCACATGAATAAATGGATTTTGCGGCAAAATCCAAGAATTGCTATCTCAGATTTGATTGATATGTTCTATATCAAAATTGTGTCTATGAAAAATAATTTGTTACCGAAAAAATTCAAGCCAAAAATGATGAAATAAATACTCTGACAATAATAAATATTCCGATAATTTTATTAAATATATATTTATAGAAGTCTCTAGTTTTCATTCTGTCACATTAAATAATTACTGTTTCCTTAGCTTTTACGAAATTATTAATAAAAAGGGGTCGAGTTCATGAGTCAATTGATGCTAGATCACCATGGAAAACCTGAAAGCACTTAACAGTTGTTTCGTCCTAGTACGGGATTCCTCAGCAGTGCGTATCCACGATCCTGCCTGGTTAGATTCAACCCAGGACCTAGTAGGCATGCATGCGAACGCTTAACGTCTAGACCATTGAGCTGGTCGGCATCCGATGGTGTTAGTGTATGACTTCAACTAATCCACAAAATTGAGCGACCATTCACAGTTGTCTTTAATGAGTTACTATCTCACAAGAGACTTGGTTGGACTTCACTGGTCACTGAGAAATTGCCGTCTTATATCAGTGTTGTGAATAAAGTCTGAAGTTTATATTACGAAGAAATGCTCTTCGTAAGGCATACTAGTTTGATTATTCTTAGAAATTATTCAGTTATATTTGTTGAGAAGTCTAATACTGTTTACTATTATTCAGTTATTGACCGACAGACTGTTCGAAATTTATTGCTTAATGCTGTCCAACGTTTGAACTAATCGTTCAGATGATGAATACTCAGAGTGGTAGTTATATAGACATGGAAAAATCGATCTTTTTGTGTGAGGAGTTGCATTCTTTGAACTAGGGGATTTAATAGTGAAGCTTTCATCCTTTTTTTAAACAGCATTGTCACTACAAAATTCAGTTAAAAGTGAGCTATTCGAATTTCTCCACATATTACCAACAGTCTGTCCTGTTGACCGTGATTTCTATTGGTTATCCCTCACGTGGGATTCGAACCTAGGACCCTCGGTCTCGCTGGCGAACTCTAAATCTCTAAACCACCGAGCCGGCACCCAACAATCACTAATTTGACGTAGTTAAACAACTGTTTACAAAATCGTCATCATATTAAAACACTAATATATATATATATATATATATATATATATATATATCAATTCTCTTCAGATTTTACAATTATATATCCAAATTCATAATCCATAATATGAATAAGTCTAAGACAACATACATCTTTTAAAGTTATAGCATGTGAAGTTAGGATTGTGAAATGAACTAAAATTATTAATGTTGAGATGACCAATATGCATTGTTAACTTAAATAAGTTTATACGTTATATGGAATTGTGCGATTAGTGACCGGAATAATTATAGGTTGGATAGGGTGAGTGGTAAGTAAATTATTCATGTATTCGGGAAATTATTAATGATGTTAAACAAATCACAATCACAAAAGTACTAATAGTAGTAATGATATTAATACAAAGATAATATGAATGAAGATAACAAAGAAAAGTATATATGACTAAGAAAGGTTCTAAGTACATTGGTCATATTGTGTCATTCAGTAGTTGATTAATTAGGGCTGAAGTTGGCCTGAGTAAGAGAAGCTATTGGAGATATTTCTTTTATACACGTAGCTTCAGTCTTTTAATCTGAATGGCCGCTACTTCTGTCGTTGGAAGAACTTCGAGTCTGACAGACTTTAGTAAAAAAATATACTGACGCGATAAATTATTGTGAAATGTTGGCTTATACTGGCATTATGACCACTTTGTACAAATTAAGCTAGTATTGAACTGTTCACTGTCTTCACTACACCTTTGCTAAATCAAGTGACTACTTCATAATATCACTTAAGAAAAATGAAAGCTTAAGAATAGGCAATTATAAAATCGTATTTCTAGAAAATCTTAATATTAAGTTGTCATTCATCTAACAGCAATTTGTTCCCACATCATACTGGTTTTCTTCAGAATTAGTCCCACGAGACCCATTTACTATTGAATAAAGATTTATTTGTTTAGTTTTTTTACCGCCACTCAAATTATATTTAACTTGAATTCACTGCAGTAATGATTATTAAATCATTGATATTTATATTCGAAAATAAGGAGACGCATCAACGAATACTTTTCACAATGAAACAACTTATCTTTATTACAAAAGCTTTAAATGAAGAATTTCACTGATTGACTTATCTATTGCTTTACATAATCTAACTTTAAAGATAAACAACAGTAATGAATAGATTAGAACTCATTTTTCTTTGACTTTCAATGAATAAATCGAAACTCTTAAAGAAAATATCTGAATATTCTTCTGTTCATATTCACATCAAGTTCTGCAAGTGAATGTTTCAAAAGAATAGTCAAGTTTACGACAAATAATAGAGTACAAGAATATAAAACATTTTAAAATAGAATTGTTCTTGTTGAAATGATTAATACCTAATGTTAACTGAAATAAGTTTATACATTAAATGAAATTACAAGGTCGATAATCTGAATAAAGATGAGTAATCCAAAGTGTAAGAAACTATTGTGCAATTGCAAATCAAATCAAAATGTTTGGTCAAAGAATACTTAGTGTCTACAATAATATGGGCTAATAAAACGGGATTAGAGTTAATCAAATGCTTAGTGTTTTCACAAGATTGATGGTAATAGTAATTGTGATAATTATTACAATAATATGAGGTATATAACCATAACAAAAGTTATTTGAATAAGATCATTGTAAATTACGAAAACATAAAGGAGAAAAGATGTATGTCGATCAGTCAAAGTAGATCATCCCATAATTAAGATGACTATTGACTTATTTCATTTGAGTTTGAACACGGTAATATGAAAAGTGGTTGAACTTAGTCTTTTCTGTGCACAAATCTTAGACAGTTATTATCTACTTTTAGAAAACATGGACGGTATTGTTTCTACCAATATTCGTCAAGATTAGAACGAATAGTTTGACAAAAATTGAGCACCTAGTATAGAGATGTCATTATGTGTGAAAATTATATTTTATATAGTATTATTAAATAAGAATAATTAATTCATGATATTCTGATGTGTGCTACTGATGTCGACAGACCTAAGTAGTATGTCATTAATCGAAAGTGAAATGGATCGGAGGCAGAAAGTTAAGAAGATCAAAGAAAGAAAATGAGAACAAGGAATGATTGGTGTGTAATCGAAAGAACAATGAAGTTGGAGACAACTGATTGACATTTTGAAAATGAAGTATTCACTGTATGGTTCTCAGATTTTAGTAAGACATTCTGTAATGTATTAAAATATATTCGATAGTCCCCATTTGTGTTCTTGTTTACTACAATATGACATAAGTATAAACTTACCTAGGATGAAAAGTAACAAATCAAGGAGATGTGATGGGATAATGTTTAAGGTTAAAGCGAACTAGTTTTATGAATCATTAAGGAGAAAGTATGTATTCGTAAATTCTTAGCAAATGAATATCGAATTTGATGCGATTGTAGAATTATATATATATATATATATATATATATATATATATATATATATATATATCTTTGAAGAAGCTTGTACCAGATTGCCAAAGGAAACGTTGAGTTTACTTCAAATCCATTCGCTGAGGTTTTACAAATACATTCTTCCACCTTAATGTTTCACATCAACTCGGTGCCCAAATAGTATGAAACTATTCGATGAAATTTAGACAAGAGTTCTTATTTAAGTAATAATCTCTATTAGTTTTATACTTACAACATTAAACGCATTATTTATTAGTAAGAAGTAAAGGATTTAAATGAAAGTCATTAAAACTAAAATGGTTGGAGTTTTATTTATAAAGTTTTCTTGTAAACTACAAACATATGTTCGTTACATATACTGGACACTTATTGACTAATCATATTCATAAAGATACAGTTGAAGTAAATATCAATTTTTACTTACTGTAACATTTTTATTAAGCTAGCTGTTGCAGTATGAATGTGTCGGGCATAGATCCTGGGCCCTCTCTCATGTTATGCGAGAGCTCTGCCATTGAGCTTTTTAATTGAAATATTTTACTTTAAAATTACTGATTATAGTGTTTATGAATAATGAAGACAAACATGAAAAGAATAAACAACTATAGAATAGAACTAAAAGGAAAGAACCAGGACAGAGTGGATTGTAGAATGCTGGTTGGTGGCTTATGCTCTGTTGGGGGTAACAGGTTTAGGTAAGTAAGTAGTGAAAGTGTTTATGAGAAATATTAAACATTGAAGTGCATTGGACAAGTAATTAATGACATTTCTGCAGTTAAGTTGATCAAAAAGGATTCATATCCTGAGTGCGGATACATAGATTCACATTGAGATCTTTCGTCAGTTTTGTGAAAACATTATTTGTTGTCATTATT